AGTCTAGTCCTATTACCTACTCGAAAATACACTTCAACAAAATTTTCCCAAAACACACGCATGAACTACAGGCATACAATAGTTCAAAACTGTTTGAATAACAATCTACAAACGTTCTGCCTGCATAGTTTGTTGACTGAATATATCGACGCGAAGCGTTCACCATAAAGTACAAACACTTGGCACACGGTCCTCAAACAAATATTTTCGTCGTATTTTATAATGCATACGGTAATATTTGTTTACGATATTATAACTACTTTAAAAAAAAACTTTTTTATATGTAGTTGTTAGAATTTATTTGCTTTTAAGGAGCTTTCTCTATTTTGTTAAGAATTTAAAATGTAAGACTCTTTAGTTTATTTTTCTTATAAGATAAATGATTATTTAGACAACTGCCATGAACACGAGTTTGCAAGAGCAACATCCCAAACAAATATAAAAATAGATACGTAACGAAATCGATCTTCCTCTCGATCAGAAAAACTTCCGTCGAGTATCCACATTAACACCCTATTAGCTTCTTTACAAATCAGCTGCTCTCCAGGCCTAATCTCGACCCTACTTGATAATTGGTTTTTCAAAACGCCCTACGTAACTTGAAACTGATCTCGACTTATCGCTTATGAGAGGAAACGCGTTTTGAGCCTGATATTACCTCCCCCCCTCCCCCCCTCCCCACCTCCCTTCTCGCCGCAGTTACGATGTTCAAAAAATGGTAATTTTTGTTGCAAGTAAAAAAACAGTTAAAATTAATGACAATATTGTACTAAAATCACCGGTTCTTTGCATAATATGCATGTTAATATACATTGAAGGATGCTCCAAACACGATTGTACCGTTAGGATGCCGCATTTTTGTAACGGCGATACGCGTCAATATAATCAAGATAAAGTATCACGCAGTTTATTGTACAACAAAAATAAAATTTGCATTTTGATACACGGAATGGATTGAGATAGCCGCTGATACCATCGTAAAGATTCCTGACATATTAAATTACTTTTAATCTGTTTTAAAGAAAAAAAGAATCTAATAAATTTATCGTTTTAAAGAAATTAGATTGGTCTATACATATAATAAAATTGTAACTAAGCCGAATTTGTACATTAAATATTTTTTGGAAAATCTTATTGAAATAGACATTATTATCAATTCAGAGGCCGAATGTGTAGTTTTTAGAATTTTTGTCTGTCTGTCTGTCTGTCTGTTACCGCATCAGGTAAAAACCACTGGAGGGATTTTGATGAAATTTAGTATGATAATAGCTGGTTATCCGGGTTAACATATAGGATACTTTTTACCGCGGGAAAATATCTCATTTCTGAGAATAAATACAAAAAGTGCATTCTAAGAGTATACTATTATGTAAAACCTAAGAATTTGGTTTTTGGTCACCTGAACGCGGGCGGTGCTGCGGGCAATGCTAGTTTTATATAAATTAAAAAATATTACATAAGAAATGAATGAAGCTTTATAAATAGCGAGAAGCTATTAATCGTTTTCATTTTCTACTTGGCTTTACTTCTCATGTTAAGATGCGTTTGAGCGATATATGCAACATGACATTTAATTATACGGGCACTTAAAAGTTCACGTATGGCATGCCAGTCTCAGTCGGCGCAAGTTCCTTAGAAGGTATATCCCTGTAAGGAAAGTAAACCCATTGTGTAGATTGTAGACGGTTGTTCACCTATAAGAACCCACTGAATTCTAAATCGAAACTGGTTCAAACGTTTAGGAATGCTTTTACTTTTATATGAAAAGTTAAAAAGGATTTAATTTCCAAAGGCGTAAACACCAACTCTCTTGACAATACTTAGTCAACCTGTTTTAAGTATAAAACTCGTTACGGCAATTTTAAAATTGCACCCGGCAGGGGAGCCTTTGGTTTAAACGTGCGCTTGTATCGTCCTCTATATCTTTTTTGACCGACCTTAAAGAAGGGGAACATAATTTAGTTTTTTTTTGTATGTGTGTTACACAATATTTTCTCTAATTATTGCGAATTGTTACTCATAATTATTTCTTTAATATAAGGCTATATTATATAAGACCCTCAAGCTACGAATAAATAATTAATTATTTATTCGTTGACCTTAAAGGCAAAATTCAATAATAAATCTATATGTATATAAAAAGGCAAAGACAAAACGAGTTAGTAGGTACCATTTTCTCCTCTATGTCAATCGATTTTCTTATTTTTTTTTTGTTTAGTAGCTATTGACGAGTTTTAGGGTTTTTAATACAAAAAAATTCGAACCATATGTTCCTCAAATTTTCAATAAAGTTAAAGTTTAATTGTCGGTTAGAAATGTTACTTTATTTGCAAACTTGCGACTCACCCTCGCTACACTCAGGTTCGTCTCTATAGGTACGTTTTGACGCTTTGTATGGAATATATTTTTCCGTGAATTTTCCGATGTTTTATTCATAGTCATTCTGTTGACTCGGGATAAAGACAAATCCAACAAAACAAAGATCATAAAAATCGGTCCAACAGTTCTCGAGTTATAAGTGGTGTAACAAACCCGACTTTGTTTTATATACTAATATAAGATAAGGATTTTTTAATTACAGTAATTGGGCATTAAAATATAATGTTTATTAGTTTAAAATGTATGATATTGAACTTAATTAAAATACTTATAAAACATAAAGAGAGATAAAACAGTGAAATTAATATGGTCGTATTTTAAAGTACTATCAAGATTATATAAATAAAATAAAACAAATGAATGTAATTTATACCCAAAATAAAACATTTTAATTCCTAAAACATGCTGACATAAAAAACAAAGGAGTTACGTTTTTGTTATACAAAATAAATACACTGTGATTATGATTGTTAAGGGGACCTTAAACCTTTTTAACTTTGCTTATTTATTTAAGTATTTTTACAGTTACTATTAATTAGAATACAAAAATATGACTGAAACCATATTTATATCAGAAAAGCTCTTTGTTTATTTTTTTGTTTAAACATATCCAAAACATTCTTTTATATTTTGTCTAAGCACAAAGGTCGTGAGGCGACCGTTCATTGAAGCGAAGAAAATGACAAACAATGGCTTGTTAAGCCTTTTGTCGTGAGCTTTGGGCGGGCATGACATCCGTCTGTCTGCCCGTAATCAGAAGCATTGACCGAGTATAGGGAGTCGACGGCATCTCACTACTGTCATATACCATACTGACTATGCAAACAATCTATATATATATAGATAACAGATATTACTTTTTTAAACACTTTCAATTACAAAAAATACGTACCTAATTGTAAAGTTGCTGCATAGTACCTTATAGTTATTTTAAAGCTCTTCTCGTATCCATAAACGACAAAGCCGTTTATATTTTTTATGAAACATTTATACATACTCGTATGAGAATTTCTCATTAGCTTGAAATGGGTTAAGCAATTCTGATAAAAAGCTTACGTACGCAGAGATGCGTTAACTCGACTGTTGTGACAAGCTTCCACCCGCTAAAATATTATAATATCCTCAGGAAGAATATACTTTAAGTTTTTGGTGAATAAGATCTATATTTACACGGGAATTGCCTTTTACTGCACTTTAGACCTCTTTGTTTACAAACATAGATCGTGAGTAAACCAGTAGCAGCAATAGCTCGGCAACTCGCCAATAGAGGGCGCTAGACCAAAATAGAATGTCGTTCGAACGTCGAAGTGGAGTTTACAAGAGTTATAAGCTAATGTAACCAAATGATTTTATTTTACTAGGACAGATTTATTATTCTTTTGTATTAATTTCATTTATGTAAATCAAGGCATTGCATTGTATTATTTACGTATATAATAGATGGAAATAACACCTTTTACTTTATTAAAATCTTGCAATAAGAATTCAAAATATTTGTCTGAATATTTATATTATTTTAAGTAATTGAAAAAAAATTATAATATTACGACTTTTAAGCAATGTAGAAACTACAAAAAAAAACTAAAATTTATTTCACAAATACAAACTTACACCATCTCCGACTAAAACAGGCTATTTTATTGTAGGTATAGTAAGCCATTAAAAAATAGTATTAAATAAAATTACTGGGAATACTAGATATGGCACAGCTCTTTACTTTTAATTTAGCCGTGTTACGAGCGATATAAACTTGGAGAACAAGAGTATTTATAGATCAAGATTTATAGTTCAATTTCACAGGGCTGTCTTATTATGGATAATTATTTGGTAAGAACATCTAGACTTTAAACAGATTGCAATTTCCAGAATATTGAATAATAAACTGTTGTTTTTTTTTAATTAAGTTAATACTTTATATATAACAAACGATAATATATTATATTCGAATATATAAATAATATGTAATATGAAAATAAGATATCACATCTACATTTATTGTTTCACTCTTTTAAGTTATACTCTTACACCATTAAAATACTCAAATTCACCGCCATTAACGATCCAAGACCTATAAATAATACTTCTAACAAATATATTTATTAGTCTGCATTAAATCCGACTGCTTATAAATTAGTTGTCAACCCTTGCTTAACTAATTACACGAGCGCAACGAATTACGTCTCGTTGAGAAATCGCCGTGAACACTGATCCTTTATAGATAATTTATATTAACAAGATCAAAGTTATATTTTTCGCTGCATGTATACTTCATCTAATAATAATGTGTTGAAATGAGTTAATATCAACACATTTATAATATTATATTTTTGAATTATATATATATTATTAAAAAAATTGATTTAAATTTCTAGTAGATATTTCTAGGTCTAATTTATAGTATATATTATCCTTAATACGGTTTTATATTTTTCGGTCTTTTTAAGAATTGTTATAGGCAAGTCAAATATGTTTAGAAGCGCCATCTATTTACGATGTGAGAAAACTTTGACAAATTTTACTATTGACCAACAGATGGCGCTAAACGCAAATAATTGCCTGAAATATGTCACACAAGTATTTTTAAATTTAATTTTAATCTAATATAAAAAAAATTGACATACCTATTAGCTGTTAACGTCGTCATTTCGACGTTATTTCCACAAGCGGTTAATATTTCATCACAGCTGCTGCCACCTGTTATTCGTTGGACGGAACTTAAAGACACATCTTCGTTGGAACTTTTTCCCGCGTTCGTAGCATTGCCGCTAGATGGCACTGTTCTTTGTTTTGACGCTTGCTTATGTCGACTAAGTGCAAAAAATAATGCCAAAACAGCTTTTAGTTTAGCATCACGAATGTCAACTGCTGTTACTTGTTCTAACCCTTGGACTTTTTGTGCATGAAGAAAGTCTAAGCAGCACTGGACGTTTTCCAACTGAAAAAAAAGAAAGTTAGCATATTAATAAGTATTCAGCCATTAATTTTTAATTAGAAAATAAAATATTAATGATCAATAATTTAGTTTATAATTTATAGCACACTGTCACGTATTTTACTATGTGATATAATTTAAAAATACTACACGCATTAAATGTAAATTACTGAAGAAATTACACATTAGTCACGTCCATGATATTTATTACAATACATTCGTAGACAAGGTCTTCTCTGAAAACAAAGTATTTTTTCACAAGACAGTCGATTGCATGCGATGCAACTTTGAATTACCCACGTAATAAAGAGAATGTTTATAACATTTTATAGTTCTTATAAAAAAATTGTTATTATTTAAGTAATTATTTTAACAATACAGTAGGTATCTATTATACTTATTAGTAAGGTTTGTAGTACATAAAAATTGGATTCTTTTAAATTTTTTTTTCTCTTCTCCGCCAGCTCACGTTACTCCTGTGCAGATCGAGAGCTTCCGGATACCCTCGAACCAAATCAACACTAACATACGAATTATGTTTCTAGTAATAACTATTAACTTTTATTATTAGCTAAAACTGAGTTGTTTTTCTCCAACCTCAGTCAGAATCAGTCAGACACAAACATAATTAATTAATTTATTAACAAATCTGTTACCATTTATATTTCTATTTTTTAACTCTCTATCCAAAAAGAGGGGTGTTATATGTTTGACGTCGATGTCTGTCTGTCAGTCTGTTTTTTACTTTTTAAGGGTTGTTCCTTAAACTATAAGTATTTTTTGCGTATCGGGTTTTTAAAATATTAAATTTATAATTATTTCAAATATAACTGAACGTAATATAAAAATTCTATTGGTTAAATTGCATTATAATGACGGCTAGTTCCATTTCGTGAATTCTAAAAAGGAAAGTAATTCGGTACAAAATCGTTTGACGTGCATCGCACGCGACGTGCATACTGAGTATACACGTACCTTGCCATATGCGCGTCAGCAGTCAAGTCTGTGCGAGGCCTACACAATGAGCTTATCCTTAATGACCCATGAGGAATTAATAAAATCATGTTGACACTTGAAATTCAATATCTGTAGACTATATATAAAAAGACGTATTTTACTTACTAAGCCCGATTATTTATTGTATAATAATAGGTTAAAAATTAAGAATAAATAAGTGATATTATAAAATCTGGAGTACGGCTTGATCCTTCATATTGATGGGAGGCTCGTGCCCAGCAGTGGGATGTTAATAAGGGCTGCATATTAAAATTATATTTTTTTAATTTTTTGCTTTTTTTATTTATACTAATATTATAAATAAGCAGAGTTTGTTTGTTTGTTTGTTTGTTTGTTTGAAGGCGCTAATCTCAGAAACTACTAATCACTAAAGGGTATATAATGTAAAAAGAAATTTTAAAATCGAAATTTCTTTTTACATTATATACCCTTTTTATTCAGGAAGGCTATAAGCTATATTATATTATAAATAATATCATCCCGGAAAAATGTAGGGTTCCCTTGAGATAGATTTGTTTTTGTCTAAGGACGAACAAGAAACGAAGCGAGGGTGAGTCGCTAGTATATTATATTTAAATAATTGTCTTCATATTGTCATATGCCTATACATTGCACAATAGTATACATGTTTAACACGTGCTAGCTAAAATCATGCGTTTAAATGGCCTTTAGCTGGCAAGTAAGTGGATTGCAAAATCCGAAAAAGATAGTTTTATTTAAAATGAATTGCACTTTATTAGAATTTTTGGCATGCAATTATTCCCTCCTTAACATTACTGTTCATCGCCAAACCCTTGAGTTTATTATAACATGTACATATGAACGTTTTCTGTATTTAATGAGTGTTGTATTATGTTATTATTACATTTTAAAATTAAAGACATAAAATGAACCAAATAACATTTACAAACTTTTTTATAAGGATATTAATCTTTATCTTTATTAAACAAGACATGTTATTTATGTCGCTGAGCCAATTAACTTTTATAACAAATAAATATTGTAAGCCTTTTAATTTTTGTATATTAACATTGAAGATATGCTAGAAATATATAAAAAATAATAATAAAAATCGTTTTATTTCATCTTATATTAGTAAAACTAACTTAAAAACACGTAAATTTCTTTATAAATAAGTTTCTTTTGTATTCCGCTTGAATGTAGCAGTAATTGTGGTTCTTTCTTTATATTTTTTACACGACCCTTTCTTAAGAAACGCTTGTATAGGTGCATAAAATTTCATTAATATCATTCAGGTGGCTTTAAGGATAATAACATAACGTATTCATACTATAAAAACAAGAATCTTCAAAAGTTAAGAATGTTATGGGCCTCATAATATCGTATTTTATAAATGGCGTAAAGGAATAATTTTGTTTACGGCATATTTTTTTGAACATTTATGATGTTTTTTATTACAATTAAAAAGATGGAGTGATATAAACGGTTAAAATTATTTTTTTAATAATATTGTTCTGAATAATACGGTAGTCCGCAGATCCGGAGGTCCTGGATTCGAGCCTCGGGTCAGGCTAAATTTATTATATAAATAGTTATTGGAATTCTCCGTAGCAGCCCGGAGTTGGGAAGTTGACGTTTTTACTCTCACCTATTTTGTCACAATATCGTCGCATCGGACTTTAGACAGTGATAAGAAATAGAGATACTTAATGTGTCTACGCGAACACTTGTGTACTATAAATTTAAAAATTGTATTGAATATACTTTAATGTATAGAATCGCAATATTGTTATTCCTTAGATTCCTATTCGTCAACGATTGCAGAAAGGTATCTTGTCTGAGCCCCCGTATTACAAATGCGAAAGTGTATTCGTTCGTTTGCCCTTGTCTGAGTCTCACGTGCTCGCACCGGCAACCGATTGCTTTTTGCATAGAGATAGAATATAAACCGGCGATAATCACAGCTATATCATCTATACATATAATAAAATTGTAACTAAGCCGAATCTGTCTGTGCATTAGATATTTTTTGGAAAATCTTATTGAAATAAACATTATTATCGATACAGAGGCCGAATCTATAGTTTTTAGAATTTTTGTCTGTCTGTCTATTATCACATCACAGAAAAACAACTGGAGGGAATGGAATGAAATTTGGTATGGTGATAGCTGGTTATCCGGATCAACATATAGGATACTTTTTACCGCGGGAAAATATCTCATGATGATATTGAGAAAAAATACAAAAACTGCATTTTAAGAGTTTACTAATATGTAAAACCTAAGAATTTGATTTATGGTCATCTGAACGCAGGCGGAGCCGCGGGCAATGCTAGTATACTATATATTTTGAAATAATTGTTAAATTTTATCTTTCTATGACTTCGTAATGCAGATAAATGTTGAATGTCAAATGTACATACATACATTTATATGTGTAATATATAAAATTTCGTTTTTTAGGGTGCAGTACAGTTCATATTCATTACAGTACAACTGAGTTCTAATGTAAGGTTTCATCTTCATACTGCCAAATGGACGTAAACCCAATTCTATACTACATCAGTATTTAGTTCATTTTGTTGCGCCACAAGGGTCGGCGTCGGTCCTTAAAAGGCTTGTCTACAGATCTCATAGGTCACCGGCACAACTCAGGCTCGACCGCCTTTGAGGCAACTTGTTTACAATACAGCCTGTAACGCTTAATGTTAGCACGACCATATTTTTTCCTCGTCCGTTAACGCCCAAGTAACGAATCGTAATAATATTAGGAGGAAAACGATAATATATAAAAACTAATTATACAGCCCAACTTTTCCATAAGACAGTTCAAAACTAGTTAAAGTATGCAGTAGAAAAACGGTAGCTAAACATAGAATAAGAAAATTGTCTAACAATAACATTAACAACTTCGCGACCTTTTATCTGTATATCTACGTGACCAATCTAAATATTCAGTCCATGTAGTATAAATCATATGAAGTCAGCTTATTAAATACTAATTTCAATTAAATTTCACTAATTTCAATTTTGATATTAACAAAATAAACATTGTTTAAAGGTACCCTACCAATATATTCTTTTAACAAATCGACTGAAAAAATATCTAAACTTAATATTACAAACTAAAATATCTATACATAACTTCTAATCCTCTTTCAATCCGAATAAATTTACATATTATTAAATTATTGTTCTCCAATAATAGACAGATACTGTATGTTCCTTACAATCATTTATTGATGTGAAATTCAGCCTATAGTTACGATATACATTTTTAAACTTTCTTACACACAACCTGCGTCCTCTCTCACTTTTTATCAACAACCCACCTCTACATTTTTTTTATTATACCCTCACATTTTATTAATGTCAAAATTTATAATTTACAATCATTGCTACCATTAAATTTATTAGAATCAATATTACAAAAATGAGTATAATAATAAATAATAAATAGTGTCGTTAACAATATCATACAAAAATTAACAATTCTAAGAGTAGTAATTACGTAATCTCCAATAGAATATTTTTTCTGTACGTTAACTATTGTCACGCCTGACATCAATATCTATAGTTAGGATCGCACTCTACTTCTCTTTTATGTGTTGTGTGTCTGACAGCTGACGTTACGACATGACAATAGTGTGGCTCCAAGGTAACGAGATAAGATCAGAGGTTTCAGCTTTCTTAAAAATAAGTTATTTATACCCGAAAAGGAAAATATTGTAATATGACTTAAATTGAAAATAATATCATATTTCATTTTGCATAAACCACTAAACTGATGCCTATACAATATGTAATTGCATCCTCTCAAGCAAAGCAACTGCTGTAGAACGGAACACGTTACATTAGTTTAACAAAGGCACAATTACGTACTAACTAGTACCAGGACAAATTCAATTGTTAGATTGACCAAATCATCCGGCAATGTCAGATTCATGTAGACGGTTAAATCTGAAACTTTGCTAACATACGCGGACACTTGCCAATTTAGTTCTCGACAATACAATTAATTTCTAATTGCACAATGCTTTAAGGCCATACCTATTACAAGGAAATATTTTAATATATATATTTTTTAATTTTAATCGTTCCACAGTGCCGTAGTTCAGACGTGACTCGCACTTTATACTACGTGTGAGATCGTAGGTTCGACTCCTACATAGAGGTGAATGTAATATTTACCATATAATTTGGTCTGGTTAAGAAGACGACCATATTGCGTCTTTATAGGCTATGTTTGGAATCTTAGTATAAAACTAGCGACTCACCCTCGTTTCGCTCGGGTTCGTTCCTAGGTACGTTTTAATTTTTTTGAGCGAAACCCTAATTCTTTTTCTAAAATAAAAGTAGCCTGTGTTACTCCCTTTAACATCAGCTATCTTCCAGTGAAAGTCCCGTCAAAATCAGTCCAGCCGTTTCAGAGATTATCCGGAACAAACAGACAGACTAAAATTTTAATATTATGTTTTACTTATAAGTACCGTATATAATTTCATATGTAATTAGTAAATCTCTGTTATTTTGCCATTACGTTTGTAATCCGACACTTCAATTTTAATTACCTATCTGTATAGATAAGTATTCCTCAAAGGAAAATGCATGAAGGTAAAAAATGAAACTTAATATAGGTAAATTGATTTACGTGAAACAGAAATAGAAATTCAACACAACT